GTGTGTGTGTGTGTGTGTGTGTGTGTGTGTGTGTGTGTGTGTGTGTGAGAGTGTGTGTGTGTGTGTGTGTGTGTGTGTGTGAGTGTGTGTGAGAGAAAGAGAGAGTGCGTATTTGTTTATTTAATATCAGGGATCCAGCAGTGCTTCAACTTCTGTGTATGTTTTTTCTGCAAGCCAATTTTGTACAATTTTCTTGCACTCATAATACAGCTTACTGTAAATTTTCAGTTCACTATTTAAAACATTGTAAAGATTTACAGCACGCTTGTCATATTGCCTATCTGCAAATACAGTGTTGGTACTAGGAATTCGAATTAAAAGATCCTGCCTTCTTTTATTTGCGACACTACTATCATATGCTAAACTTTTATGTTTTTTTAAAACTGTGTTAATAATATACAATTTCCTTACCGAGGAAAGTCCACACAGGCTATATAATTTTTCAGTAGAAAATCTCATATTTTTAAAGTACATGACCTTAATTAAGATGCGTTGAGCACGTTCAACTTCGATAAATCTTGTTTTTGCAGCCCCACCCCAGACAGGTATGCAATACACCAAAATAGCTTGTACTAAAGATATATATATTTCTTTAAGTAGATCTCTGGAAGAACCTTGATGTGACCCAGTAACTATTGGCACGACATGTCTTAGTGATTTAAAAATCCATACTAACTTCCTAATTCTACGAACAACATGTTCAAGGTGTGGATACCAAGAGAGTCGCTGGTCCATAATGACTCCTAAATATTTAGTTTGCGTAACTTTCTGGAGGATGGGGCAACCACAGCTTGCTCTTGTTCTTGTGTCAGAACAGGAGTGCAATTTAATTTTAAAGTGTTCTCCAGGTTGTGTGTCGTTGTATATGCTGTAACATATGTAGTTTGTTTTTGCAGTGTTTAGGGTGAGGTAGTTATTTTGTAGCCACTTTCCTATCTGCTCCAATCCCTGTTCGGCAGCATACATGACAGCTTCCCATGTTTCAGCAGTGAAGAATACAGCGGTGTCATCGGCGTACGAAAATATCTTTGCATTAGTAATATGCATTTTACATAGATCGTTGATGTAAATTAGGAACAGTGTTGGTCCAAGAACACTTCCTTGAGGCACACCGAAAGACACCTCTGCATCTTCACTTACGTAACTTCCTAATTTTACTTTTTGTTTTCTATCATTTAAGTAATCCTTGAGAAGACAAAGTGGTGTTCCTCTTATACCGATCTTTTCGAGTTTTTGCACAAGAATGGGGACAGAGACAGTGTCAAAAGCTTTTTTTAAATCCAGGAATACCGACATGCATTTTTTATGTTTGTCCAGGTGTTCTGCAACTACCGAACTTAGAGCAGATATTGCGTCTTCGGTTGATTTCCCTTGTCGAAATCCAAATTGGGAAGAGGAAAACATTTTAAATTTTTCAAGAAATTTAAGCAATCTTGTATTTATAAGTTTTTCTAGAATTTTTGAAATTGCTGGCAATACAGAAATAGGCCTATAATTACTGACACTATCTCTGTCGCCATCCTTGTACACAGGGGTTATGATCGACTTTTTCAGTGACGTTGGGAAGATACCTTTTTCGAAACAGAGATTAGCAAGATGTGTCACAATAGGAATGACTTCCGACTTTGCGAATTTTAGAAAACTGGTTGGGATATTATCCCACCCTGGTGAACTGTCTGATTTTAAATTCATTAGTATGCTATGCACCTCGTCGTAATCAGTTTGTAATAGAACAAAAGAGTTACGCTGAGTTGACATGTTTTGAATGTATAGTTTCGATTCAGTAGGATTTTGAATTTTTTGAGCCAGTTCTTTACCAATGTTTGCAAAAAAGTCATTTATAAAGTTTGCAGAAGTTGTTGGAGACGATTTTAAATTAAATAATTCAGTGTTGGTAGTATTTAATTTATTAGCGTATGTAATAGTTTTAATGTTTTTCCATAACAATTTATTATTATTAGCAGATTTAGCTAATAATTCTCTTTCAAAATTTCTTTTAAGTTTTTTTATTAAGTTATTGCAATAGTTTCTATACCTGGTGTAAACTATTTTACTCATGACATTGAAAGGGTCCGATCGTGCCATTTTTTGCAGTTTATTTCTATGTTTTATACATCTTAGGATACCAGGTGTGATCCACGGTTTTATAATGCGAGATTTTTTTGGAATATTAACGATAGTTGTATTTTCATTTAACGATTTGGACAGCTTATAAATTAATTTATCGCTTACAACTTGAGGGTCATGACAAAATAGCAATTCTGCAATGTTTTCGTTTTCTAGACTTTTTAAGGCTTCCTCATAATTAATTATTGTTCTGGTTTTGTTTGGAATTACATGGTTTTTCATTTTTGTGATGGATAGAAATGTTGTATGATGATTAGTAATAGTCGTTTCAATTACAGCAATAGATGCTCTGTATTTAATTTTGTTGATTTTTAGCATGAAGTGATCCAAGCAATTCTTTTCTCTAGTTGGTATTGTATGACCAGCCAGAATGCCATACAAAGACAACATATTCAAATAACTACTTCTATTTTTCAATTCATGCGGTGGCTCTACAGGTTTAGACGCAATGTTAATATTTATGTCGCCAGTTATTATAATACTGGTCTTAGCTGTACTTAAAGTATCTAAGTGAGAATTTAAAGAGTCTATAAAACTTTCTGCATTGGTGTTTGAAGGTGAGCGGTAGATGCAAAAAATAGTGTTATTCAATATGCTAAGTTCTAGGCAAGATGCCTGGGCTAGTTTTATTTCCTTTATTTTATGATTTAATCCACTCTTTACATACACAACTACACCATCATTCTGGTTTAACTTATTCTTAGTGAAGTATGCCTGGTATTTGGGCAACTGAGGTATTGGTTTGTCGTGGTCTAGTCTACATTCAGTTAGGACAATTACATCCGGGTCGAAATTTAAAGTTGATAAAGTAATTAACAAATCATCAAAGTTGCAATATATACTTCTTATATTTTGGGATATTATAGTGAAATCGTTTTTACTTACTGGTATGTGATATCGAAGGTCCGGGGCCGTACATGTCAATGATCGAGCCACCTTCATCGCGTCTATTTCATTTAATGTTTGTATTGTGTCACCCATGAATAAAAATTGTATAAGTGAAGCACGTTATATTAAGACATGGAAAACAAATGTAGTTTAAGACAAATAATCTAATTTGAAGGCTTATCTTTAACAGAGTTCTACTCGTATAAATAATTATTTTTGTTCTAAATGTAGCGTGCAATTGCATAGTATGTTTACTAAACATGTAAGCATATATATGTAAAGAATGTTTGTATGAGCCCAGAGGATCCTGCAATTTAAATTTTGTATATAAGTAAGAGTATGGGTTTTGTACTTGTACATATATAGTGGTGAAATCTGATAAAGAGTTGTGTGTGTGTTGAATGAGTTTGGACTTATGTTCATTGAGTTTCTGTGTATGTATATGTGTGAATAGTTTACGTAGATATAAGCTTAAGTATTGTGGCATAAACATGTGATTAATACAAACGTACCATAATAGAACAGTAATAAGCAGTATTTTGTTTGAGTCTACATTGACCAATAGACAAGGTAAGGAATCATTCTTTCTCCACAATAGTCAGTCTTCCAAAAGCAGATGGTGCACCTGTTCTTCATTTGTTATCAAAATAACTGGCGATTGGTCACTTTTCCGGATGAAGACCTTTCCGTAGGAAGTCCAGCAGAATTTGTACCCTTTCGATTTTTTAAGATCTCGAGCCAAGTAATATAGACGGGAACCTTTGGCTGTGAGGTGCTCGGAGAGAAAGAAACCTCCACACACAAACAAAATGTCTTCAACCTTTGTTGAAGACATTTTGTCGAAAAGTGTTAGTCTTCAGCTCGATGTCTTACTAAGATTACATTTTAAGTATATTATTTCTATCTTTTACTTTATTGCATTGCAAACTTGTAGGAATTCTTAAAAATTTTCATTTCTTAAAGGGGAATAATATAAGAGGAGCTACAAATAAATACATAATTTTTAAAAATATGATAGAAAAATTTTGTTTTTCATTATAATAAATTTATTATCACAATTCATAAATAAGTAATTACAATAGGACAATCTAAGTTCTTAAAAATAATGTATAAGTTACAAATTCATTTCTAGAATATTTACTCTGAGGTTTTTCCAAATTAACAATTTATTGCCGAATTAAAACTAGAATAATCAAGAACACTGCATATGCGTGTAAAGCAATTTTTCCAGAAGTAGATAATTCAGGAATATTAAGCTTATCAGTGTACACCCAACAGAACAGCATGGATATCTCTAGCGAATATGACTGTATTTTCAGCATTCATTTGAATGTATTTTCAGTATTCTTTTTTTAAGACACTCGTACAGTCAAGTACAGGTGACCATACATAGGAATGAGCATGCTTACATAAAAGTGCACTCTAATATTTTATGACAAAAATATTTTGTAGGTCACGGAAATCAGTTTGGATTAAATGGCTTTTATTATATTTGAAATGTTCATACACGTGAGCAGTATATTGTACCTATTCCAGTTATAAGTCTTTCATATAAATACTGTTTCAATTACACTATTGCATACTCATTATCAGTCAAAAAATGCGTAAATAACAAATTCCTTTTAAATTAAATTTATACCTTTCTATACTTAATTACTGGTACTGTTTTGCTTTCCTTCTTCATAACCCATTTTCCTGAATATGGGGTTTCTATCCTCTTCAGTTTTGGTCGGAATCCATTTTCGTCAGCAGTATAGTCGACTCTGTACATAAAGCCATCAGGGCCGATATACTCGTAAAAACCTTTAGATGCAATGCCTTCATCGATTGTATTAAGATTCTTTACAACAGCCTTCTCTTCAGCTCGGATCTTATTCTCGGTTTCGAAGCTGTAAAAACGTTTTTATTATTGTTAAGTTTTTGTAGCGCACTTAGGGACCTTTAAGTTATACGGTTTTTGCGCGTAATGGAATGCATTGAAAATAAAATAAGTCCAGAAAGTTCTAATTCAAGATTTTTGAATTATAAGTCAGGGAGTATGGTGTAGTTAGCATCAAAGCCGGTGAACAGCTACCTATTTATATTGATTTTATTGAATACCATTATGTTTCACTATCATTATCATGAAAGACATTAGACCTAGTTTGAGTTCAAGTCTCCCACAAATGTAACTAATCTAAATACCTTATTTAATATGCATCCTGTAGCTTTGTGAGGAGAAAATAAATAATTTTGTATTTGTTATTGTACTATTAATTTCTTTTTTGTGAAATTATTCCACTATTTTGTTCTAGTTAATGTCTAATTAATACAAAGATCGAACACCGAGAAAAATTTCTATGATCAGACAAGACTCCAACCTGCGTGTGCAATGCCAATCTAGGACAACCGTTACAGTTTAATTACAGAAAACAAAAATTTTGTTTTAAGAAATAGCGGTGAATTAATAACAAAAGTTCATATTTATTTAGGGTTAACCTAGATCTCCTATAAGATCACATGTAATCTCTATATGATAAGTAATTCTGATACACGTACATTATTGGAAATTACCATTACAACAGGCACCTATGCTGCTCTCACTTTGTACTCTTATAGTGATCTATTTTTTATTACCAGCCCCCTTAATTATTAATTTGTCAACTGTCTGAAGAATGTTAGAAGTTATAACCAATGGTCGGAATAAGGTGTTCCAAATCAGTAGATAAATGTCTATATATAGATAGAACGAGTGACATAGAGCGGTTAAAACCACTAAATATTAACTAATTTACTTTTGGAGTTCCGGATTTTCGGAAATAGTTTTACTGCTTCGTACGATAAAACTATTCACTTACGATGCTGAAGTTGCGATGAAGAAGTAGGTAACTAAACTTCCACATAAGTAAATATTTTTTAATGAGCTACAAGTGCCTACAAGCATTATTTTGTTTCAACTAATAAGGATACTGTAAAAAAAAGTAATTTGAAAAAAATAATTAGTGTTTGGTGGTTTTAACCACTCCATGTCACCCCTTGTATCTATATGTAGACATTTATCTACTCATTTGGAATACCCTTTTCCGACCATTGGTTTATAGCCAATGCCATGAACGTCATCAACCTTCTACAAGGTGTGATCAAAGAGAAGCATAATAAGGTAGAAACTCATTAATTTAACATATGTTTATTAAATAAAGCTTATTAGATTTGTAAACCCACAATAATCAAGGAAATACGTGGAACTTAATATACTTTTTTCCGGAACACGACTTATCAAAGATTAACATTTAGAATGCTAACAATGTCTCAAGGAACACTTCCGAAACGGATTATCGTTTTATAATGACACGCCTTTCAACAGTTAACGGATTATCGTTTTAAAATGACACGCCTTTCAATAGTTTCAATATCTTTACGACAGTTCCTCTTACTTAGATGATCTTTGTCGAAACATAATAGTCAAGGTGTCAAGTATTCTTTTTAGCCTCGTGAATTTTTTGTTGGCAAATTTGTACCTTATTTCTTCCCGTTAGCAATGTACTCGTAATGTGCATAGTTTGAAGATAACTGTTGTTATTAGTTAGCTTATATATGTTTTCAATAATGTCTCGACTCAAAAATAAAATAATTTTTAAGTACATCAGAAAGTAATTTGGAAGAAAGTTTTAATTGGAATTTCTCTCGACAATATTTCGAGTCGTGGTGATAATTTGGTCACTCAAGCTAACATAATCACGTTAAAAAAGTTCGTTCACGTTAAAAAAGTTCAATTTTAATTTCGGTATTAACGTGAGTGAGTTGATTTATTCGTAATATTCGAGAAATTTATCATAAAAGAGTTGAATATTATGCTTTAAATATTAATTATTTACACTTGAGCTGCCTCGGTGTATATCTTCAGGTATAAATACTTAATTGAATACATACCAATTTAGTTTCTAAATAAAATACCAACTCAACTAAGCTTCGCATCTATAGACGGTATATATCTATATCTGAATATCACAAATGATAATAAATAGTATTGAACTCTAACCTTAAGAGCACCATGTTTTATTGTAGGTCAAGGTCTTTAAATATTTGTATTGAATAATTGATCTGTTTTATATATACCAAGTTGTACTAGTGCAATATATCAAGGATAATGACCCTTATTTTTCGTTTTATAATATAATACTTAATATACATATTTGTTAGCTTGTTTAGAACATTATTTATGTTCCTCTGTATTTCGTTACATATTGATGATTTTTTACTAGGTACAGTACATCAATTTTACTATATGAAAATATTGTTTGTTTTCAACTTCTTTTAAAACGTAAATAATTAAACATTTAATGTTTTTCAAAATTCCTGTTTTCCAGGGAAAACGTGCATAACCCCAAACATTTTTATTTGTTTTGCTAATCTGTTTCGTTTCATATTATTTATGAAAAATTTGTTTCAGATACAAATGTGCCGACAGACAAAGAAAAGCAAATTCGTAAATTTAAGGTATATAATGTTACTTTGTTTAGAAAATTATTTATATGCCTCAGTTAATGTTGAAGTTTAAATTCAACACACGAAACTATAACATTGAAATTCATGTGTTGATAACGGTTTGATTGAAAAGTAGGCATTATCCTAATATCTGAACGACGGATGACTAGAAATCAGGACAAAAGCTTTCAACATTAGATGAAAATACGGATACGCAATTTATAATTAAATTTTATCAGTCTATGAAAGACATTGTTCCCTTGACAAATCCACATGTTATTATATACGTCAAAAGTGTTTTATCTCATGGAAGTTATAAAAATAATGAGAACTACATGAAACAAATGATATATTATTGAAGTTTAGACAGATCAGCGACTAATTTCATTCGTAGAATCTTTAAACCCCTGTCATGAAAAGTTGATATTTTGAAGATGTGACCTTATTACACCAAAGGTGCGATATATCCGGAAAGAAACAAGATGTACCATAAATCTTTTTACTGAAATGACTTACCTATACACTCGTGTGATACATTTGACATTAAAATGTTCAAGGCCTATTCTAATTTCGGACATTACATTAATTTCACGAATTCTGACACGATACTTTAACTTATGTGGAATTTCTAGAATTGACATTTGAAAGATATATCTGTTTAATTTAAAAAAATTTACTGGGATGGTCTCTCGGACTATAATTTTAGTATACTTAATTTATTAGTCTATTTGTTTCTTTACTCTTTAACTTAAAGCTGAATATTCTTATCTTGGATTATTTCTCTCAAAAAAGTATTTTTATTATAATGTTCTCTTGAGAATATTCGGTTATAAATCATTCGCGCCGTAACGCTGTGCAAATGAGACTTCGAAATTCGAAATAAAATAATAAAAACGCTGTATGATGTTCGTGAGTGCATGTATGTGCGTGTTAGGCGTACATAATAATTTCACGTAGGTACCACCTTTTTCTTGTACTTCTAGCAATAGTATTTTAACTTCTAAATATTATAAATGTTTTTATTTTTGTCAAACAACCATACCACCTAGTCTTAAACCAAGGAATACCCTGTACCAGGTGTACCAGAGCAACGAACCCGAGTCAAATTCAAGAGCTAAAACTCAAGAACAAACAAGAGTCTATTAAGACAGTCGTCTCATAAATTGGTTATATCGAGGAATCAAAACCGGGACTTTCGTATGCAAAGTATGCATAGGTGTGAAGTTTCAAACCCACTTTGGGCCAGCATTGTGACCTATGCCTTAACCTATGCCTTAGAAGCAGTGGGATCTAAGTCATCAAATGCTTTTGCGGTGGGAACTATAACTGACAAAAGTTCTATCGTCAACAGATGAATAATAAAGGAATGTATACGCAACATACATTTATTTATATATATATGCATTATAAGCCTAGAGTGTAAAATGTTTATGCGACTTAGAAAAAAATGCGACCTGTTTAAGCCCGACTAAAATATTTATAACTACATAAATATACGAAGTAGTGTTAATGCATTCGTTGGTATAATTTAGCATAGTGTCAGCTAGATTGAATCATGTTTGTATAATCATTGAATTCACCGCTAAACCTAAGGCTCAATTTACATTACGACGGAACGGAATGGAATGCTTCCAGCGGATTTGGCAGGCTTCACCGACCACAGCTGCGGAATCCTCACGAACGCGCGAGCATTCTCGAGCATGCGCGAGAATTCCGCGGAAGTCGCGCGATGTACTTTTTGGTTCGTATCTAGTTTGTACGTTACACAATTGATCATAAAGTTCATTACGCTATGTACATTATATTATGTTACAAACATTCGCTTCCATTCCGTTCCGCCGCAATATAAATTGAGCCTTAGGAATGACATTGCTTCAAGCCGTCTGCTTTTACCATTATAAGGCTAAAAGTGAAATACTTACTCAAAATCATATTTATCCTCGTCGTAGTTATGTACTTGTCTAATAATTTTAATTCCATTGTTCTTGTAGTAACCTTCCTTATAGAAGGGGTTCAGCTGAGCCGGTGGCGTCAAGACATGTTTATAAACATCAACTGTTTCTTCGCCGACATAGGGTTCATAGTCGTGTGTGTAAGGGCCATATCCTCCGTCGTAAGGGTTGTCAATATGAATGTAAGGGTTTGGTACATGAATATACTTTCCTTCGTCTGTCGGTATGTATCTAAAACAAATTTAGCATAAATAATGTGAAAAGAAATAGGAAAAAAATGTTTGATGCTTTTTTTCCGAGGAATTTGGTTGGTAATTTTGAAAACTATTTAATTATTGGCCTTTGAATAAATAAGTCTGAAACAAATATCATTTCCATACAGTCAAAGTGGGTCCATTACAGATAACTAAGTAAAAAATTCAACAATAAATAATAATAAAAAATCTTTTATTATAAGACAAAACAGCAAAGGCCATGGTTGTTACTATAAGTATTAGAACTCTTTGATTATTCAAACATGAAATAAAATTGGAATGGAAAATAAAATTTAAATCGTCAAAATTATCACGTCAAAACTTAATTTTCTTCAAAACACGTAATTGAATACGAAATGACACTATTTTTCTTTTCGTTTGTATCACAATCGCGAACACCTAAAAACTCGATACATAATTGATATTCATTAAAACCATGCATTAAAAATATTAAAATCACAACTTCAAAATTATCGAATGTAAATAGCATTGTCTCAAAATTAATGTAGAACCTTTTGAAATTGTTAAAAACAAAGTCAAAGATGTTATAACGTACTAAAGTTTTAATATTCTAAAGCGAATTTCGTATATAACATTTCATACAAGAAAATTAGATTAGAACTAAAGTGCGGTGCCCTGTTTGCCAAACTAAATAATACAGACTCGTGCTTGAGTGTCACACGTGTGTTGATAGATAGGTTAGTCAATTTAAGCTCTAAAGTAAACAATCTATGTTTTTGTTATAATTGCTTCCCTTGCTTGTTAAGATTGTAATAAAATCATATTTCGTATGTGTATATATAAAAATAATCTACAAACAAAATCCTTAAAGTATAAAGTTAAATTGTGGTATTCCTTGGGAGTATTGTAAATTGGCATTTACTTACTTGCCGCTATTTCCATAATGGTGAGGATGCCATTTACCGTCGTCTGATGGCGCGCCTACAACCGCCACCACACAGATTGCTAGGACCAACTGAAACAATAAAAATAAATCATTAGAAATTTGTAAAACAGCCTTCTTTATCAAAATATTGAACCTAAGAGTACATTTAGGTGACAATATTTTGTAACCGAAAATGATAGACTTATTTCAATGTTTCTTGTTTTCTAAATAAAAATTATAGTCCTTATCAGTAAAAATAAGGAACAAGATTTTTTTTAATACTAAATGCAATTTTGTCGTACCGGAGAAGAAATCATCTTGAATCACTGAAAATTTTAAAATACGCAGGATTTTACTTCACTAAGCTGGTTAGGTTCACTATGAACACTATACGGAAATAATTAATAAAAGTTTTTTTTAATCACGACACAGTACTCTGGTACACTCCTTAGAGAATCCAAAATGCTTGTGATGATTTCGAAATCGACGCTTCGCTTTTATATATTTGCAACATCCAACTCATCTGCGCAGGAGACGCCGCAAACACTTGTGCGTCACACATACCGTATCTCACGCAACCTTATTTCATCTTCATAAAATCATTACTGTCTTAAACATAAGTTTGAAATTTCCTTAAACCTACTTGAAAGTGTAACCAATGAAACCCATACCTTTTCATATTATTAGTTGGCAATTTTATGAATTTGTGTCAAATAGAGGATCTGTGCTCCTTTCTTTTGTTATTTACTGAGCCACAAGGTTCAATCATATTAAGATGAGTATGATTGAATTTTATGGCTGTAAAGAAGTAAGTCTCTTTAATTGCCGAATAACGTTCCCTTGTAACACCGTAGATATAGTTTAAGAAATTATGCAGGAGATACGAATAATTCCTATGAAATTTAAAAAAATTGCCTTTGTTTTACCATACCTTTAGGTAGATTCTATTTGTATTTGTAAACAGAGAATTGAATAACTGAATTCCAATTTAGAATAATAATAAAGCTATATTTTGCTGACTTTCGCGGCTATTCACTATAATTGGTTGTTGCAACACGAAAAAAAGTAAAAAGAGATACCGTAGTACAAAACCTGTAACTAATAGTCATACCACAGTAGGACGTTACTAGTGCTAATCATTTAAACAAACATTATTAAAAGATTTTTATATCTGACCTGTGTAAGTTGTATTAGATGAGTAATTTGTATAGCAAATAAGCAAGTATATTTTTTGTCAATGTTTTTTAATCGACGGAAAAGCAAATCTTTGGCCCATTGATTGTAATACCGTTAACCGGTTTTATGGAACTAACCAAGAAAAAGGGCATTAATTCGTGCATTCATCTTATGATTGGACGAATTTTCGAACAGTGATACCTTATGAGGTAGGACCATAACGTTGCAATAAAAGTTTCTTTGTTGCAAATCTTACTTTGCTAATAAAAAATCAATTTCCACATTTAGAAACGTTTAATGATGACGTTACAAAGGTATTGGTATTGAAAGGGACATGATTTTGTTGTACATTGTATGCATTGTTGATTTGAAAATAAATTTGAAATTTAGGTACAGTCAAGAACACGTCAAGCTTGACAATTTGTACAGTTCTTATCGTAAGCTGCATAGTGTTGGATTGAAATCTTAAGTATCAAGCTTGAGGTGCTCTTGACCCTACGCTTCTACAGCTCTCGTTTTACTGTCTAAAATGTGTATGAATAAATACATTTTGTATTTATTACAAACGTTAAGGGCAGACGAATTACAAATTTTACAATTATGAACAACAAGATACGAATGGTCGTGTTTCGCCCTACTGTTATTATAGCTACCTTAAATTCTTAACTGTTAATTTGTATATTCGCTGTCAATAATAATTACAATTTTGCTTATTGATATCTAAGTAAATGCGATATTTTTTAAATTGTCTATGAATTGCGTTGCAATTTAACAGTGGTAAACTAACGGTTGGACTTGCGGACTCTGAATCAGAGTGTCGTGGGTTCGAATCCGGGCTTGAACCTCTGAGATTTTCGTAATTTATATGCGAAATTTAATTTCGTGAGAAAACCAGTAGACATCTGCGAAGTAATGCAATAATATGTGTCCATATCGAGTTCTTAGGTTTTCGCGATTGTTACACATAGGAAATGAAACTACTATATAAATCGCACATATTTATTTTTTCAAACAATCCGACGTTTTCGTCACCTGTAAAGGGCCCGAAACGTCGGTTTGTTTGAAAAAACAAATATACGTTATATAATAGTTTCGTGTGAAGTTTCCAAACCGTATTGTACCCATGTGGGAACTATAGCTTTCTCATTGTGATGGGCCTGTGCCTGTGTTTTCACGGTATCGCCATCTCTGAGGCCCCGGATTCGATTCCCGGCCGGATGTATGTAGAAAAATTAACTTTTCTATTTTGTTTCGGGTCTGGGTGTTTGTAATACTACACTATATTTGATCCGATTTCCATAACACAATTGGTATCAGGGCAACGTACGTGATGTTGTCTAATATAATATATATTAGACACTTTTTTGCACACATTACATACTGAACATTTGTTGTTATTTTCTATTTAAAATATTGTTCTATCTTATTTAACTAACCCACTGATTTGTTGTAAATTCTCAGTTTTAAGCTTAAGGAAATTGCAAGGCGTTCCCAAAACGAGCATACATTTGCTTAATGGGAGAACCTGATCTACTATAATATAAGATAATTGTTGAACAAAATTAAGAAATGAATAAATTTTTAATTTAATATATTATATTACTTATTATTATTATCAATCGTGTTATTAAGTTTGATACAAACCAACAGCAATTTTTCATTTTAATGAACATCGAATTCTACCGTTTTGATCTTTAATCGAACAGTCTACTTATTTATTTAATGGAATGAAATTGCAATCATTAATAATATCATTACTAGGTCATAGTGGCGCCAAATCCTGACCTGAGAATATTCGTCCATCTTTCCATACTTATTTAATAGATGAATAACTTAACTCTAAAACTAATAACTATTTTGCATAAACAGCGATTTTTACTGGTTATTTGCCCAAGGAAGTGAGAGTTGAACTAATGCGATCTATTGAATTCGTTTATGAATTACTTTTTAATTCCTATGATACGAAATTCTACGACTATTTTAATATTTAACTTGTTTATTAGGGAATTTCAGCTAAAATCATAAAATCTTCCCTTTTAAATAAAGGCATGTATATGTAACACGACAAGTCTGTTTTATGTTGTATCTAGATTTTGAGAGCGTAATTATTTTATGATTAATGATACTGAAACGAGAAATAACAGATAATACTATTAAGATAGTCATATTAAAAAGTTACACGAATTTTAAAATTGTTTGATTTTAAAGATATCGCGAAATTAAGCAACATAAAAATAAAAGAATGATGCTAAAAATTTAAATTTAGACGCTCTGAGATTTTATTTGAATAGTTTCTAACCTGAATCTTACACCAAAAAGATTTTATTTCATTTCAAGCGGTCTGAATTTTAATGTTTTGTAAAAAAAGTTTGCTTTTGCGAATTGCGTTTCGAAAAATTATTAAGACTATATTTTATAATTATAAAAAAGTATTATAAAAAAAAGGCAGACTAAAGCCAGCCACAATTTGTAATTTGTATTTGTTTAATTATAAATACTATAAATAATGATAAAACAATGAACCAAAAAGGGCCAGCCAAATTGCAGCTGGTAATCGCGCTCATGACAACAAATAACTTTAGCTAAAAAATAATTAAATTATAAATTTGCAAAAATAAAAATTGTCATTCTCAAACAAAACGAACGGTTGATGAATATTTTTATAGGGTGCCAATTCATTTTGGTGATCATATCACCTTTAATTTCTGCGTTTTCTTTGTGTTTTTCATTTTTGAACGTTTAAAACGCTAAAGGCGAAGGAAAGCATGGCGATGAAACCTGCGTGTCGAAGAAGGTACACGACTCATGGAAAACTGGTCTCCTACCATTGGACCAGGGCGGCGGACTCTGACCTAAACCTTCTCCTTAAAAGATATTTTTTTTCAGAAATGGGACGTTTAACGAGACTTTTAATGATATTAAATTATGGGACGTGCGCCTAGTGGTAATTAAATTAAAGTCAAAGAAATCTTTATTTCATAGGTAACCAAATTACACTTGAAATCTTCATATTGATTAAGCTCTACTGTTCATTCGTAGGACATATTCCCCTGAGAAGAATGAGCAACAAACTCTAGGTGTTGTTTTTTGTAAATTAACATTTGTACACATTTACAATTTTGATTTTTGTCATCCAGGCGCATCCACAGGAATTGCTACCCAGAGCTTTAAATCGCAAACATAACACATAAGTTAGGCTTGAATAGTTAAGATAATTGTAACCTACTCCAATACTCTCCTTACTTTACTAAATAATTGTCCGTATAGAGCGGTGTAGCCGCATTTTGCGTCAAAGTTTTTTAAATAAAGAAAAAAAAGACAAAAACTTGGTCCTTAGGGGCTATAATTACCTTACCAGTACCCTTATCCTTCAAAACTAAAACGTAGTAACGCTCACATTACTGCTTGGCGACAGAAATACACAAGGCAGTAACTTCCTTGTACAAACTCTTCCACAGCACTCTACCTACTGCTGATGATGTTACCAGCTGATGTTTAACTGGAGTTTTTTTTACACTCTATATATTTATGTCATCGGTATAGGTATGTATCTGGCAGGCATTTGAAATGTCTCGTGCATTCTATCTATGTATCAAACCTACGGTCTTTTTGTAAGAAAAGGTATATATTATTTTAAAATATTATGTTTCTCAAAATACAGAACCAAGTGAAAGAATATGTACTCATATACGCAATATACATACTATCAACGTGTATATATGAAAAATGATATCAAAAGCACATTAGTATAAAACTTATTAAAAAATCAAAACAAAAATATTTGGCAAATAAGACGTAGTTCATAAATTATACGTTTAACGTAAATGTGAAAATGAAACTAATAACATTTAAGTACTCTAATTTAAACAGCATATGTTATATTATTCGGAAAAATATTTATTTTATGTCGTTATTTGTTCAAAGTCCGGGTCACATTATAATAATATTGTTTTTTTCTTTAAACTTATTTGTCACCAAAATATTTCTAACGCCTAATCATGACATTCCTGAGAAACTAGTGTATCATTTGTTTTGTTGTTGATGACGCAGTTTTCTAATTATTTTAGGCGCCAGTCATGAATTTTTGCTTATTTCCAAATATCCTCTATTTTATGACATCCGTGAATGATGCTACCGTTTTGAGGAATTTGATAAGAGCAGGAAAAATAATAGAAACGCTTGACTAATAAATTTAGAGTTTGTTGTTAACTGTTATTTCATTA